CCCAAAAGAAGGGTTGGCAGAGGGGGAGCAGTCGCCCGATCGATTTAAAAACCCTTTGCAAAATTTTGATAGCTGTGGGAGATGAAACTGGCGGAGGTTTCTCAAGTACAGTTTTTAGGTGGAGGTGGGGGGGAGGTTTTCCCCGAATAAAATGGGGTTTTAAAGATTTGGCCCTAAAGGTAGACAGGGTGGGGGCTGACCGGACATACTGGGGTTTGGGAAATTTCCCAAGGGGGATTGGGGGAGAGGCTCTGGAGAAGTCCCGGAGCAAGCGGGGGTTTGCTACGGGGGATGATTGGTGGGGGTGAATTTTTAAGTACAGTTCTTAGGTGGGGGGTGGGGTAGGTTCCGTGATTTCAAAAATGCCTAAAGGGCAGAGGGGGGGGGGGCCCCGAGCGGGCAAACTGGGGATGGGAGGGGCTTGGAGGGAAATCCTGGAGGTGAGGTGGGGGGGAGGTGATGAGGGAGCTAGAGAGGAAGATATTTGGGAGGAGGGGGGTGGGCGATTTGGGGGTGTATCTGTGGATTGGGGTTTGGGGATTTTAGCCGGGGGAAAGGGGCGTGGGATGGCTTTGTAAGCTGTTTTTGGGGGGTATTTTGAATTGTATACGTTGGGTTTTGTCACTAAAGTTTGTGGAAAGCCCAAAGAAGGGATCGGCAGGAAAAGGGGCGCAGTCGCCGATCCCGTTTAAAGCCCTTTTCATTTTTTTTTTTGCACCCCAATTTAAAAAAACAACGGTTTTCCGCCCCTTTTACCCGCCGTTAAATGTCTCCTCCGCGTGCCCGGGGAAATCCCCAAATCTGGGGCCGAAGCGTTTCGCAGGATAACACATTTTCGGCAGTATGAGATCTCGGCCTTTTACGGTTGATTGTTGGACCCCGAGTCATGCCGTACGTCGAGGGAGGGCCGAAAATGGGAAAAATTGCGTTCGGTTTTTAAAACAGGGCCCTCTTTCAAGGAAACCAAAATTTTTTTAAAAACTAAAAAAAAAAATTTTTTCAAGAATTTCTTAATGGGTTTATTTAAAACAAATTTTCTAAAGGTTTTGGAGGGGTTTGAAGCGGTGAGCTCATGTCGTTCACGGCTCGGCGCCCGAGGAAAAAATCCGCTTTTAAAATATTTATTTTTTGACACAAAAATTATCCGTACGAGGGCCTCAGGGGCCCGCGGGAGTCTTAAATTTGGGGGTATCTTTGTGGAAATGGAGGGCTTTTTACTGTTTAGGAAACCCGGGGAAGGGGGGAATCGTTTTTAAGCGATTCGAAACGTTAATTTATAAACATGTCAGATTATTTTCCCCTTTGGGCGGTTTTTTGTTTAATTTCCGTCAATGGTGTTCTTTTAGGGGTTTCGCTCGGCAAAGGGCAGAGGAGGGGGGGGGGGAAAAGGTGATTAAGGAAAAAGATTTTGGGTTTGGGGAAACTCTGAATATTTTTTATCACCCTAAAAAGTGTGGTTGAGAGCAGGGGTTTTTTTTTTTTTTTTACCCGTTTTTTTTTAACCCCCCGCCGATGGGAACTCTAAACCCCCCTTCCCGCCCCAGGACAAATTTTTAGCTTTCAGCGCTGTCGCAAATTGAATAACAATTGTGCGGTTTATGCAGCATGTCCCATATGACATTTTTATTATTTTTTTTACAAAAATAGGGGGTTTCTTTTTTGGGGGTTTTTAATCGCCCCCTGGGGTTTTTTTTTTTGCGTTTTAAACAAAAAAAAAAAAAATTTAAAAATAAAAAAGTTTTTTTTGTTTCTATTATATCCACTTTTTCCCCTCCCCCCGGACCCCGCATTAAATATATCCCCTCTCCCGGACCCCGCAATTTTACTATTACCGCCCCTCCCGGGACCCCCCATTCCTTTTATCCCCTTCCCCCCCGGACCCCGCACTCCTATATCCGCTCTCCCCGGCCCCCCATTTACCCATTTTCCGCTGTCCCCCGGGCCCCGCATTCACTATAAACCGCTGTCCCCCGGACCCCCCTTTTACAATTTTTCCGGGTCTCCCCCGGGCCCCGCATTTTACTATATCCGCTCTCCCCGGACCCCCCTTTTACTTTTATCCGCTCTCCCCGGCCCCGCATTCAAATTTTTCCGCTCCCCCCCGGACCCCGCATTTATTATCCGCTCTCCCCGGACCCCCCATTCACTAAAATCCCTCTACCCGACCCCGCATTCACTATATCCGCTCTCACACAGACTCCGGCATTAACTATATCTCGCTCTACCCGGACCCCGCATCTCAGCTACTATCGCTCTGCTCCCGGTCCCCCCACTCCCCCGGACCCAGCATTCATATTTATCCTGCTCACCGCCTGGACCCCGCATTACACTATATCCCTTCTTGCCCCGGACCCCAGCATTCACTATTATCCGATCTACCAGGACCACCGCATTCACTATATCAGCTCTCCCCGGACCCCACGCATTTCATCCTATATCCGCTCTCCCCGGACCCAGCATTCACTATATTCCGCTCCCACGCACGAGGATCCCCGCATTTCACTATATCTTCTTCTGGCCAGGAACCCGATTCACATATATCCGCTCTCCCCGGGACCCCGCATTCACTATATCCGCTCTACCCCGGACCCCGCCGATTCACTCATATCCGCTCTCACCAGGACTCAGCCATTCACTAATATCCGCTCTCCGCCGGACCCTACATTCACTAATATCCAGCTCTCCCCCGGACCCCTGCATTCACTACTATTCCGCTCTCCCCGGACCCAGCATCATTCACTATATCGCGCGCTCCCCGGACCCCGCATTCACTATATCCAGCTATTCCACGGACCCCGCAATTCACTATATCCGAGTCTCTCCCCTGGACCCCGCATTTCACTTATGTCCGCTCTCCCCGGACCCCACGCACATTCACTATATCTGGTCTCCCAACTTCACAGATACATTGGAAATGCAACTATTTTAGTAAATATATAAACTGCCTAAATACCTTTTCTCTATCGTGCAGTATAGAAACAGTCTTGTGACTTCTATCAGTGTCCCAGCAGGAGAGCACTGGTTAATAGCTTGTGCGAGGAGGTTCGTTTTCATTCTGCTGTTTAGCGAGGATGCTGGACCCCTGACCCTCTGTCTCTGAACAGTGCTGATATGGCCCTGTGCCAATCACATGCACCCTCCAAAGAAAAAAAAAAATAAATCTCTCCAGCAATATAATACCAAACTGAGCATGTGCAGATGGGACTCCTACACAATATGTCTTATAAGGAGATAAGCAGCGGGCGGCTACTAGAAAGTAATGGAAGGATCAGAGAAGGACAGGATTCCAAACAGCTGTTTTTACTACAATGCACAGGATTTAACCCCTTAGGTCCCACAGTGACGTGTGTATAACAAGCTACGCTCTTTTCCTTTACTGCGCATCGTACGGACTGATTGTACTGTTGGTGGGTTTCGTAAACACATTAAAAAAAAAAAACAAAGAAAACTTAATGCAGCCACCACATCCAATGATTGGTATGCTGCCAATGTATTACATTTGCGGGTTTTTGCCACTTTAAGACTTGCCAGTTAGCCATGGCCGGGGGTTACGGGCCTGGCTACATTTTTCTGTTTTGGTAATTTTTGTAATTGTAAGCTGGATCCAAGGTGAGTGGAATGAAATAGTGCATGGCTGTTAGGCGGAAGCCAGGCTGACGTGTAGCCCATCCACTATCCATGACAGGCCTGACAGGGTGTTACTTATAGTAATAAATCCTGTCACGTTCTCCGCTGCTTGCCGTCGCTGCTCAGGTGCCCAGTATGACCGTTTCGCCGTGGATCTCTGGCAGGATTGGGGGTTTTACAAATATTTCACTATTCCGTATGCTGTAATCGGCATTTTCTGACTGAAAATGGGGAGCCGCTTGTCTTTCTAGTCAACTTAAAACATAACAAACATCCTTCCTCACATATAAAAACAAAAACCCCCCCCCCCCCCCCCCAAAAAACAAAAAAAAAAAAAAAAAAAAAAAAAAAAATAAAAAACAAAAAACCCAAATTGTTTTTTTTTTTTTTCACGCCCCCCCCCATGGGTTTTTTTTTTTCTTTTTTTTTTTTTATTTCTTACGCTAATGTTTTTTTTCCGGCCTCCTGGAGGCTGTGCATGGCCATAGGGACGCCGAGCGGCCCGCCACATTTTGCGTTCTGTTAAAAATAGGACAATAAGTGCACGAGAGCGCGCACCCTGCACACATGTCCGGTACTCACGGGGAAAGGTTCCCGATCTCCTGTTTCGATCGGGACCAGGGGCGGACTGACCATTCAAGCACTCGGACACTGCCCGAGGGCCCGGGGGTCAGTAGGGGGCCCCATGAGATGCCCCTGGTACCTTTCATAGGCTTTTTTTGGGTGTGGTTTGAGTGTGGATGAGAACACAGGGGCCCCATGATCCTCTATTGCCCGGGGGCCCCATGAGTTGTCAGTCCGCCCCCTGATTGGGACCTTTTCCCGATCATGTGACCGCCGTGATGTCGTGTCACGACGGTCACATGACCCTAAATCCCACCTCGCCTCCCGGCTTCTGAAGCACTTAAAGGGCCGGGAGGTGCCGGCGTGAAGGGGTTAATGTACCGTACAGGTGTTAATTCATCTGTTTAACCACTTCCAGTCCGGACACTTTCCCCCCCCCCAAGACCGGAACGCTTCCGCCTCCCCCCCCCCCAGACCGGACGCTTTCCCCCCCTCCAGTCCGGGACACTTTCATCCCCTTCCAGTCCAGACACTTTCCCCCCTTCCAGTCCGGACACTTTCACCCCCTTCCAGTCCGGACACTTTCACCCCTTCCAGTCCGGACACTTTCACCCCCTTCCAGTCCGAACACTTTCACCCCCTTCCAGTCCGAACACTTTCACACCCTTCTAGTCCGGACACTTTCACCGCCTTCCAGTCCGGACACTTCCCCCCCCCCTTCCAGTCCAGACACTTTCCCCCCCTCCAGTCCGGACACTTTCACTCCTCCCTTCCAGTCGGGACACTTTCACCCTCTTCCAGTCCAGACACTTTCCCCCCCTTAGAGGTACACCGTACAGGTGTAATTCATCTGTTTAAACCACTTCCAGTCCGGACACTTTCCCCCCCCCCCCAGTGGGACCGGACTACTTCCCCCCCCCCCCCAGACCGGACGCTTTCCCCCCCTCCAGTCCGGACACTTTCATCCCCTTCCAGTCCAGACACTTTCCCCCCTTCCAGTCCGGACACTTTCACCCCTTTCCAGTCTGAACACTTTCACCCCCTTCCAGTCCGACACTGTCACCCCCTTCCAGTCCGAACACTTTCACCCCCTTCCCAGTCCGAACACTTTCACACCCTTCCAGTCCGGACACTTTCCCCCCCTTCTAGTCCGGACACTTTCACCGCCCTTCCAGTCCGGACACTTCCCCCCCCCTTCCAGTCCAGACACTTTCCCCCCCCTCCAGTCCGGACACTTTCACCCCCCTTCCAGTCCGGACACTTTCACTCCCTTCCAGTCCGGACACTTTCACCCTCTTCCAGTCCAGACACTTTCCCCCCCTTCCAGTCCGGACACTTTCACCCCCCTCCAGTCAGGAGGACACTTTTCCCCCACTTCCAGTCCGGACACTTTCACCCTCTTCCAGTCCAGACACTTTCACCCCCCCTTCCAGTCTGAACACTTTCACCCCCTTCCAGTCCGAACACTTTCACCCCCCCTTCCAGTCTGGACACTTTCCCACCCTTCCAGTCCGGACACTTTCCCCCCCTTCTAGTCCGGACACTTTCACCGCCTTCCAGTCCGGACACTTTCCCCCCCCCCTTCCAGTCCAGACACTTTCCCCCCCTCCAGTCCGGACACTTTCACCCCCCTCCAGTCCGGACACTTTCACTCCCTTCCAGTCCGGACACTTTCACCCTCTTCCAGTCCAGGACACTTTCCCCCCCTTCCAGTCCGGACACTTTCACCCCCCTTCCAGTCCCAGACACTTCCCCCTCCCCCCCCCTTCCAGTCCGGACACTTTCCCCCCCTTCCAGTCCAAGACACTTTCCCCCCCTCCTCAGTCCGGACACTTTCACCCCCTTCCATTCCAGACACTCCCCCCCCCTTCCAGTCCGGACACTTTCCCCCCTTCCAGTCCAGACACTTTCCCCCCCTCCAGTCCGGACACTTTCACCCCCCTCCAGTCCAGACACTTTCACCCCCTTCCAGTCCGGACACTTTCACCCCCCTTCCCAGTCCAGACACTTTCACCCCCTTCCAGTCCAGACACTTTCACCCCCTTCCAGTCCGGACACTTTCACCCCCCCAAAGTCCAGTCTGGACACTTTCACCCCCTTCCAGTCCGGACACTTTCACCCCCTTCCAGTCCGGACATTTTCACCCCCTTCCAGTCCAGACATTTTCACCCCCTTCCAGTCCGGACACTTCCCCCCCCCCTTCCAGTCCAGGACACTTTCCCCCCCTTCCAGTCCGGACACTTTCACTCCCTTCCAGTCCGGACACTTTCACCCTCTTCCAGTCCAGACACTTTCCCCCCCTTCCAGTTCCAGGTGTAATTCATCTGTTTTAACCACTTCCAGTCCGGACACTTTCCCCCCCCCCCAGTCCGGACACTTCCCCCCCCCCCCCAGTCCGGACACTTTCACCCCCCTCCAGTCCGGACACTTTCCCCTCCCCTTCCAGTCCAGACACTTTCCCCCCCCTTCCAGTCCGGACACTTTCCCCCCCTTCCAGTCTGAACACTTTCACCCCCCTTCCAGTCCGAACACTGTCACCCCCCCCGTTCCAGTCCGAACACTTTCACCCCCTTCCAGTCCGGACACTTTCACACCCTTCCAGTCCGGACACTTTCCCCCCCTTCCAGTCCGGACACTTTCACCCCCTTCCAGTCCGGACACTTCCCCCCCCCTTCCAGTCCAGACACTTTCCCCCCCTCCAGTCCGGACACTTTCACCCCCCTTCCAGTCCGGACACTTTCACTCCCTTCCAGTCCGGACACTTTCACCCTCTTCCAGTCCAGACACTTTCCCCCCCTTCCAGTCCGGACACTTTCACCCCCCTCCAGTCCGGAGGACACTTTCCCCCCCCTTCCAGTCCGGACACTTTCACCCTCTTCCAGTCCAGACACTTTCCCCCCCTTCCAGTCTGAACACTTTCACCCCCCTTCCAGTCCGAACACTTTCACCCCCTTCCAGTCTGGACACTTTCCCCCCCTTCCAGTCCGGACACTTTCCCCCCCTTCTAGTCCGGACACTTTCACCGCCTTCCAGTCCGGACACTTTCCCCCCCCTTCCAGTCCAGGACACTTTCCCCCCCTCCAGTCCGACACTTTCACCCCCCTCCAGTCCGGACACTTTCACTCCCTTCCAGTCCGGACACTTTCACCCCCTTCCAGTCCAGACACTTTCCCCCCCTTCCAGTCCGGACACTTTCACCCCCTTCCAGTCCAGACACTTTCCCCCCCCCCCCTTCCAGTCCGGACACTTTCCCCCCCTTCCAGTCCAGACACTTTCCCCCCCTTCCAGTCCGGACACTTTCACCCCCTTCCATTCCAGACACTTTCCCCCCCTTCCAGTCCGGACACTTTCCCCCCCTTCCAGTCCAGGACACTTTCCCCCCCTTCCAGTCCGGACACTTTCACCCCCCTCCAGTCCAGACACTTTCACCCCCTTCCAGTCCGGACACTTTCCCCCCCTTCCAGTCCAGACACTTTCACCCCCTTCCAGTCCAGACACTTTCACCCCCTTCCAGTCCGGACACTTTCACCCCCCCTCCAGTCCGGACACTTTCACCCCCTTCCAGTCCGGACACTTTCACCCCCTTCCAGTCCGGACACTTTCACCCCCTTCCAGTCCAGACACTTTCACCCCCCTCCAGTCCGGACACTTTCCCCCCTTCCAGTCCGGACACTTTCACCCCCTTCCAGTCCGGACACTTTCCCCCCCTTCCAGTCTGGACACTTTCCCCCCTTCCAGTCTGGACACTTTCCCCCCTTCCTGTCCGGACACTTTGCCCCCCTTTCAGTCCGGACACTTTCACCCCCTTAAAGTCTGGACACTTTCCCCCCCTTCCAGTCCGGACACTTTCCCCCCCTTCCAGTCTGGACACTTTACCCCCCTCCCCATGTCCGGACACTTTCACTCCCTTCCAGTCCGGACACTTTCACCCCTTCCAGTCCAGACACTTTCCCCCCCTTCCAGTCCGGACACTTTCACCCCCCTCCAGTCAGGAGGACACTTTCCCCCCTTCCAGTCCGGACACTTTCCCCCTCTTCCAGTCCAGGACACTTTCACCCCCTTCCAGTCCGAACACTTTCACCCCCTTCCAGTCCAGGACACTTTCCCCCTTTCCAGTCCGGACACTTTCCCCCCCTTCCAGTCCAGACACTTTCCCCCCCTTGCCAGTCCGGACACTTTCACCCCTTCCAGTCCGGACACTTTCCCCCCCCCCCTTCCAGTCCGGACACTTTCCCCCCCTTCCAGTCCAGACACTTTCCCCCCCTTCCAGTCCGGACACTTTCACCCCCCTCCAGTCCAGACACTTTCACCCCCTTCCAGTCCGGACACTTTCACCCCCCCTCCAGTCCGGACACTTTCACCCCCTTCCAGTCCAGACACTTTCACCCCCTTCCAGTCCGGACACTTTCACCCCCCTTCCAGTCCAGACACTTTCACCCCCTTCCAGTCCAGACACTTTCACCCCCTTTCCAGTCCGGACACTTTCACCCCCTTCCAGTCAAGGACATTTTCCATCCCCTTCCAGTCCGGACACTTTCACCCCCTTCCAGTCCGGACATTTTCACCCCTGTCCAGTCTGGACACTTTTACCCCCTTCCAGTCCGGACATTTTCACCCCCCCTCCAGTCCGGACACTTTCCCCCCTTCCAGTCCGGACACTTTCACCCCCTTTCCAGTCCGGACACTTTCCCCCCCTTCCAGTCCGGACACTTTCACCCCCTTCCAGTCCGGACACTTTCACCCCCTTCCAGTCCGGACACTTTCACCCCCTTCCAGTCCGGACACTTTCCCCCCCTTCCAGTCTGGACACTTTCCCCCCCCTTCCAGTCCGGACACTTTGCCCACCCTTTCAGTCTGGACACTTTCACCCCTTTTCCAGTCCGGACACTTTCACCCCCTTCCAGTCCGGACACTTTCCCCCCCTTCCAGTCTGGACACTTTCACCCCCCTCCAGTCCAGACACTTTCACTCCCTTCCAGTCCGGACACTTTCACCCCCCTCCAGTCCAGACACTTTCACCCCCTTCCAGTCCAGACACTTTCACCCCCTTTCCAGTCCGGACACTTTTCACCCCCTTCCAGTCAAGACATTTTCATCCCCTTCCAGTCCGGACACTTTCACCCCCTTCCAGTCCGGACACTTTCACCCCCTTCCAGTCCGGACATTTTCACCCCTGTCCAGTCTGGACACTTTTACCCCCTTCCAGTCCGGACATTTTCACCCCCCTCCAGTCCGGACACTTTCCCCCCCTTCCAGTCCGGACACTTTCACCCCCTTCCAGTCCGGACACTTTCCCCCCCCCTTCCAGTCCGGACACTTTCACCCCCTTCCAGTCCGGACACTTTCCCCCCCTTCCAGTCCGGACACTTTGCCCACCTTTCAGTCCGGACACTTTCCCCCCCTTCCAGTCCGGACACTTTCACCCCCCCTTCCAGTCCGGACACTTTCACCCCCTTCCAGTCTGGACACTTTCCCCCTTCCTGCCCCCGGACCAATTTTCAGCTTTCAGCACTATCACACTTTGAATGACAATTGCACGGTCATGCAACACTGTACCCATATGAATTGTTTTGTATTTTTTGAGACAGATAAAAAACTTTATTTTGGTGGTATTTATTCACCGCTGGGATTTTTATTTTGTTTTGCTATATAAATGGAAAAGTCCAAACATTTTGAAAATTTATAAAATTTTGCAAATAAATAATCTTTCTTCATAAATCTTGGCCAAAATGTATTCATCTATCTTTTTAGTTAAAAAAAAAAATAAAAAATTAGTTTTATAACCAAAAATTATAATTTTTTAAAAACATTTTTGACATTTTTTTTTTTTTTTTTTAATATTATTATTTATGGGTTTTTTTTTAAAACATACTGTCACCCTAGCAGTATGGTGTCACCATGGTGACACTGTACTACTTGTGGGGGGTGATGACGATTTTTTTTTTTTTTTTACACTGATTGCTTTTACACCCATAAAGGTTGTAAAAGCAATCAATTCTCCTTCTCTCTGGCTGCATTCTTGCCCAAACTCAAAAAAGCATATGAAAAAGGTACCAGTCCACCCCTGCTCAAGACTATCCATCATTTTAAAAGGGCGCCCCATTCTAAAATGCGAAAAACTTTTCTAAGTGTTATATAACTCAGCAACACCCACACATGTAGGACACCCAACATTGGAGATGATTTATTCTTCCAAAGTAAATACACTTCTGCACACCGGTACTGACTAGTATTCCAATGTTTCTCCTCTCCCTCAATTTTTATCCATCAGTCACCCGCACAGAGAATTGTGGACCCGCGGGCGGCGTGCCATTAGTTCTAATGGTACGCCGCCCGCACTGGAAACTGCAACTGTACTGGGGACCTCGGCTGCGTTTTCCAAAGAAGTGCCGGGACTTCTTCCCTGCGTGTCACGGG